AAACATTATCAAGAATGTGAAAATACAATTGATAGAATAGGAGAAAACATTTGCAAATCATTTATACAATATGGGTTTCATATCCAGAGTACATTAAAAAACTGTCACAGGGGTGACTAGGTGGTACAGTTGGGTGGAAGTCTGGCTCTCAGTTTCAGCTCTGGTCCTGATCTCAGGCTCTTTGGATGGCTCCATGTCAGGCTCCATGCTCAACATGCAGTCTGCTTGAGACTCTCTCTCCTTGAGAGTCTCTCCTTTTCCCTTTGCCCCTCACCCTCCTCCATGTGCACCCTCTCTCTCTCAAATAAATGAATATATCTTTAAAAAATTCTCAAGATAATAATAATAATGATATAATAAATGGACACAATGTTTTAAAAATATATAAATAACAAAAAGACAACCCAATATTTTTACATAAGCAAAGGATTTGAATAACTATTTCTTAAAAGATATGCAATTAGCCAATAGCCATATAAGCTACACCACTGGCCATCTGAGAAATATAATCAAAATCACAAGAAGATACCACTTCATAATTAAGAAAACAGAAAATAACAAGTTGGCATGTATGTTCAGAAATAATCATTGCCATATGTTGCTAGTGGGAATGTAAAATGGCACAGGTACTGCAGAAAACAGCTCTCCATTCCTGAAAATGCTAAACACAGAATTATCATATGACCCAGCAATTCTACTCCTGAGTGTACACCAAAGAGAAGTAAGACAGATCCACACAGTAAACTATACAAGAATGCTCACAATAGTATTGGTAATATTAGGAAAAAGTACAAATGTCCACACAAATGTCCATCAACAGATAAATGGCCAAACAAATCATAATATATGAACATACAATGGAAAGGTATTCAATCATAAACAGGAATGAACTACCAATATATGCTACAACTTGGATGAACTTGAAACCGTTACACTAAGTGAAAGCAGTCAGACACTAGGGGTCATGTATTACAGGATTCTTTTTATATATAACATGTATAATATATTGAGAATATGAAAATCCACAGAAAGCAGAGTAAAGGTTACCAGGGGGTGGGAGGCAGGGAGTGGAGAGTGTCTACTTAATAAGTACAGAATGTTTTTATTGGGTGATGAAAAGGTTTTGAAATTAGAGAGAGCTGGTAGTGGCATAACATTCTGAATACACTACCACTAAATCATACACTTTAAAATGGCTAATTACATGTCATGTAAATTTCTCTTCAATTAAAAAAGAATAGAACAGTATGTGCTATGGTGAGTGCTGTGAAATGTGTAAGCCTGATGATTCACAGACCTGTACCGCTGGGGCAAATAATATATTATGTGTTAATTAAAAAAAAGAACAGAACAAAGAATAGAACACTACAGGACAAACTTAATAAAAGTGCAAGACTGGTAGACTAAAAACTGTAAGACATCACTGAAAGAAAATTAAAGACTTATATAAATGGAAAGATGTCCCATGCTCATGGACTGAAAATTTTAATATTTTTGAGATGGCTACCCCAAAAATTGATCTACAGATCAATCCCTATCAAAATCCCCATTGGTTTTTTTTGGACAGGAATCAGCAAGCTGATTCTAGAATTCATAGGGACATATTTGCAAGTGACTCAGAACAGCCAAAACAATCTTGAAAAAGAACATAAAATAGAGTTAAAGAACTCACAATTTCACAATATTTACAGTAATCAAGATAGTGTGGTACTGGCATAAGGACAGACGTGTAAAGTAATGGAGTAGAATGGAGAATCTGGAAATAAACTCATCTGTCTATAATCAACTGTTTTTCAATAATTCTGCCACAACATCAAAAGTACAACACAAGAAAAAAAAAAAACAGATAAACTGGACTTCATCAAAATTAAAAACTTTGATACTTAAAGCCATCCAGAAAGTGAAAAGGACAACAGTTTGTCTAATATCCAAAGAACCCTTACAACTCAATAATAGAAGGACAAATAAGCTAACTCAAAAATGGGCAAATAATGTGAACAGGTATTTCTTGAAAGAAGACATATAAATGGCCAATAACTACAGGAAAAGATGCTCAACATCATTAGTCATTAGGTAAACAAAAATTGAAAGCACAGTGAGATCTAACCTCACATTCACCAGGACGGTTATAATCAAGAAGACAATAACATGCTGGTGAGGATGTGGAGAAACTGGAATTCTCATTCGTTGCCAGTGGGAATGTATACTGTGCAGCTTCTTTGAAAAATAGTTTGCCAATTCCTCAAACACAGAATTACCTTATGACCTAGCAGTTCTAGTCCTAGAATTATAGCCAAAAGAAATGAAAACATCACTCAAAAACTTATGCATGAAAGCTTGTAGCAGTCAAAAAAGTGAAAACAAACCAAATGCCCATCAAATAATGAATTCATAAGCAAAATGTGGCATATCCATACACTAAAATATTATTTGTAAAGAAAAGGAATGATGTACTGAGACAAGTTACAATATGAAACATTATACTAAGTGAAAGAAGCCAAGACCTAATAGGCCATATACTGTATGATTCCGTGAATGCCAAGGGTCCAGAATAGTGAAATCCAAAGAGATATAAAATAGAGTCGTGGTTGCCTAGGCCTGAGAGAGAGGAGAGAATGAGGAGTGACAGAGTAAAAGAGGATATTCTTTTGGGAATGATGAAAATCTCTGGCAATAGATAGAGATGGGGGTGCCTGGGTGGCTCAGTGGGTTAAAGCCTCTGCCTTTGGCTCAGGTCATGATCCCAGGATCCTGGGATCGAGCCCTACATCAGGCTCTATGCTCAACAGGGAGTCTGCTTCCCTTCCTCTCTCTCTGCTTGCTTCTCTGCCTGCTTGTGATCTCTGTCAAATAAATAAATAAAATCTTTAAAAAAAATAGAGATGATGGTTGTACCACATTGTGAATATACTAAAACGACTGAAATAAATACTAAAAGGGTGAAATTTATAATAAGTGAATTATATCTCAATAGGAAAAAAAGTAGGTAAAGAATTCATTGCAGAGAAACAAAGTATTATACAAATTAGGGCTTGGGGGAGGGCAGTATTTTAGTGTGTAAAAACACTTCATAATGTGTAAAAAGAATATTAACAAGTAGATGAGGTTTAGAGGTGGGTTAACTGGAAGATTCTAATTCAGACATTATATGCCAGGACGAAATCTCTTCAGAATTTTAAACCTACATCTTAGGGAAGAAAATATGACCCCAAAGTGAAGACTTCCTATCACTAAATTGGTCGTTGGCTACAACTCTTATTCAAATCTCGGCATAGTGATGACGTTTGTATATGCAATCAATTGTATGGGAAAAACCATAAATCTGGATTGAGTTCCATGGGTACTTTGTGGACTTTATGAAATAAATACTCTCCTGCACCCATCAATCAGGGCCTGAAAGCTTTGGCCTTATCTGTTGTATGGGAGCTTTGCCCCCTCGCTCCTTGGTTCATATTAATGATGGAAAGATTCTGGACATAGAATTCTTAAAATCTCTGCACAGACTATTTCTAGGCTGACACAGCACGAGAAGACAAGGAGATGAACTTAACTACTGATTACATCCGTGAAATGTAGTGAGAATAAGCTGCAGGTAGCAGAGAAGTTATTCCAGCAGAGGAAAATGGGAAACAGAGTGTGCTGTACCTCCAGGCACACTAACTCAAACCACATATTCTGAGATCTGACGAACATTTCACCTCATCTTGAAGAACATTATTCTAAAGTTAGCTTTAGCCAGTTTTACAGAAAAATAGAACAAGCAACTCTAAATCTATCTGCATATCAAAATCAAATTTGAGAAGATGTTATATATTTTATAAAAACTTTTCTAGACCAATTGGAGAGTTTAAATAGGTTGTTTTTTTTTTTTTAAGTTTGGTTTGATTTGTTGATTGTTTTGAATTTTTATTTTTTTTCACTGAACTCACAAATTCGATGACAAATCCTAATCATTTTTCTGTATCAAGGAAAAAAAAAAAAACATTGAAACACAGCAAATTTCCAGAATCATTCAAATCAAAACATTAAACATCTGCTCCATTCTAGAATGGCATGTTACATGCTCCACATTTTTTTTAAGTTTTCTATATTTATTTTACAGACAGAAAGCATAAGCAGGAGGGGGCAGATGAAGGGGCAGCCAGAGGGGAGAGGGAGAGAGAATCTCAAGCAGACTCCACATTGAGTGCAAAGCCCAACACAGGGCTTGATCCCAACACCCTAAGAACACCACTCGGGCCCAAACCAGGAGTTGGACCCCTCACTGAGTGTGCCATCCATATGACCTCATTCTCTACATTTTTTTAATTGAAAGAAATCAGTTTCTCCTAGAATACTTACTTTTAAAATGCTAAGCTTAAACAACCATTATACCTAATTTTGAAATTAGAAAACATAAATTTGATACAGAAACTCTCTAAATACTTAATATTTCTTAAATGAGAAAAAAATATAAATAACCAGAAAGAGTCCCTACTGTGGTGTTTAGCTGAACCATCAAGTTGGTTTGGTAAAGAGGTCTGGCAAGTCTGAAGACTCATGCTTATTTCTCACTCCTTAGATTTCTACATTTCTTCATTTAACTCCAAAGAATATATAATAAACTTATGATTCAATTAATGGATTAGCATAAGTTAAAGATAGATAAACATGGGAAAAATAAGCTTTAAATAATGATCTGCAGCAATAGTACACATTTCATTGGATAAAAATTTTTAGCAACTCTCTTTTTATTTTTTTTTTGGTGCCAAAACCCGGGAATGAACAGCAACATTTTTTAAAGTGGCTGCCTAATGCATCTTTATAAACCCAGTCCATTTTCATTATGGGAAAGACTAACAGATTTCAGACACATGAGTTACTGGGTAATCAAAACAACCTTGCACAGTATTTTTATCATACACTTTTATTAAAATCTGATTTGCATCAACAAAAAATAAGAACAGCCATCGCCACTCACACAGAGATGCCTTCAAAGAAAATGCAGCCAGTCCACTTACCTTGGGGTGCTATCAGAGTTCTTCCGTTCTCCTGACACCAACCAACTGGCTGAACATAAGGGCTATTTACATCACACCTGCAAAACAGGATTCTATTTCAGATCCTACACAGGTCAAAGCGAGAGAAATAATCCAAGAGTAATGACCATTCTACATACTAAGAGACACCATGGAAGATGTAATTACATAGCTAAAATATTTTATAGCTAAATAAAATTAGAAGTAATTTTTAGTACTATATTTTTTAAGCTAAGTGACCAAACTTCTCTTTTACCTAACTTTCTTGAAATATAAAAGTACTTCTTAGAAAGACTTTGACTAGAACCTGAACTGCCAGTGTTATCCCCAAAGAGTGAACATTTTAATAAGCCTCTCCCACCACTTCCTACTAGCAGCAAAGGAAAATTATTAATAGGCCAGCCCAAGTTTAACAGGACAGACCAGACTCCATATGCCTCCAATTTCCAACCTCTCCTTTTCAAGAAACCCAGACCATTCTGAGACACACAGAACAATTAATCCATGCTCTGCTTCTTAGTTCAAAGAAGAGAATAGGACCCCCTTCATGCACATGAAGAGCCGTAGCCTTAGGCAGAGACTTGGCGGTTTCTCAGGATAGACTGCGAAGAAATGCTACAAAAGTTATTTTTGCCATTCCCTCTTCCATATTTCAGGTTTTTACCCAGAAAGCCTTTTGTAACTCATGCAATGTTAGTTTAATGGTATTGTAGCATACATTTTCTCTGCTCCCCACAGGATCTCAAATAATTCACTCCATTCTCCCCATGAATCTTCCCTTTCTAAAATATGACAGGCTGAGTTCAACATTTTTCAGGAAAAAAAAAAAAAAAAAAGCTCCAAGTTCTTCACTTCCTCTTCATAGAAATGCCTCCCTTACAAACTAGACACAACACAGTGAAGTGCCCTGACCTGGTCATATTATTTCAGCTGAGGCCTCATTAGGTAACCTCTCATAGAGTGGAGAAGTTTCTCGGGCACTTTAATTCAGCAATTCATGTAGAAGAGAAGGTCATGAAAAGTTGACCACTAAATTCCAATGTTCATTACTCTAAGAACAGCAAGGACAGTGACAGGACTGGAAGGAAAATAAATTCTTAACACCAAACATGAACACACAGAAGTAAAATGCACATTGGTGTCTCACCAGTAATCGTAACTATCATCCCAATTGTCAAAATGCACTAGTAAGCGATCTTCAACAATATCTGCTATGGTTGCCACACACACCAAGGAAGGGTTCTTCCTGTCGACGGCCTCCAGCTTCATTCCAACCTGAAATTCTTTAGGCATTGGCCCATTCTAACACAGCACCAGAGGGGAGAGGCACAAAAAGAAACAGGACACCAGATAGGACTGAGCTACTGTCAAAACGTCTATGTTTAGCATGAGAACAGTCTATAGGCAACACTTACCCTCCAGAATGAAGCCAGCAAATGCTAGTACAAATATTCCAACAAACTGTTACCAGATTAGCATTCTTAACAAAAACCCAGGAAACTAGCTTTTACCTTGTACTTTTTCTTTTTTGTTGTGCAGGTAAGTTATATTTCCCTCATCATCATTATTTTCCCTTTTCAGTTCTTAGAAGAAATTATATTAATTTAAAAATATGATGTTTACTGGATACAAGAGTATCAAATAATTTTCTCTGCTCCCCACAGACTTGAACAGTTTCCAAATACCAGTATTTGGAGAAGTAGTGAAGATAGGCTCTTTAGCACCAAAATTATCATTTACTTTGAAGAGATCTGAAAACAGTGGCTTTCTCGATATTTAAGAAACACATGCATGAATCCATAAATAAACCTATACTTGAAAAAAATCCAAATGCTTTTTTTAGTATCTATACACATTTTTTCATAGTAAAAAACAGTAAGGACTATGATTTAAAGTAACATTACAATAACAAAACCCCACTTTTTATACTAGTGTAATTAGCCAGTCCTGGGATCTGGGGACTAGAAAATGTTTTTTTCCTACCTCTTTACAGTCTATACTGAGCCCTGCTTTTTGTTTTCCTTTAGCGCTTTACATCTTTAAAAGCAATTTCCCATTTCTATTACTCCCTTTTGTTGATAAAATTCTATGAAACACACAGAGCAGTTGTATAACACTGATTTCAAGATCAGGGTGAGTGTCCTACAAAGGGACACACAGCCAGTAGGTGGCAGAGCAACCCTAGGGTTCCCTGCCCCCTTCCCAAGTAGGTGGCCTCACTGCAGGGGGTGAAGGGGGCGACAGGCTGACGGGCCCAGAGGAGGCAGGGGCTGCACCTTATTCTCATTCTCTCCTGAAGAGCTGGCAGGTTACTGGGGCCACAGATGGCATAACAAATGTGCTACACCCAAATCTTCGTATCTTCATACGCTCCTTGAATCTGTAGAAAATGTCACCTTCATTCTCGTTACACAGAAATCCTACTAAGCTGGGTTTATTCAAAGTCTACCTGTGGTATCTACTGGTCTCAAACCACCAAACTAAGTTCAAACGAATAACTCACTGGAATCAAGAAGGAAAAACCATTCCAAAAGGCATTTTAAATTTTAGTAGGATTTAAATATAAAGTCTTCAACTCTCTGCATCTAAATAAAGTATTTAATTGTACATTTAAAGGTGGGTTGGGATACACCTATAGGAAACGGACAAATTAAGTGAGAAAAGTCTTATGAAGCTAAGGATTCTGAAAAAATACAACAGAATATATAGTGAATTTTAAGAAATCTAAGCTCAAGTAGAAATCTGATTTATACTGAGGAAGAAAATACTTACAGAACTTCTGTTTCTGAATAATTTCTTGGGAGCATTTTGCAATTTGCAGGCCTTCAAGTAATCCATCCAAACAAATTTATCTTTTCTATAACCTAAAAAAAGTATGGATTATTCAAAATACCCACAGAATATAACCATGTGCATATTCAATATATTAACCTTCTTCAGTCTTCTGTTATGAATTCAAAGTCCTGTAGTAGACCACAAATGATTTAAGTTAAAATCTCTAAATTGTTTCAATGTCTTTTAACGTATGAAATTCAAAACTGTTGACGTGATTTCCCATCATGCATATCATGCCCTTATAAATTGTTTAAATTCATTAAGATATAGAATTGGTCTGCTGATGGCCTGATGGGAGTCTCATCTCTTAGTGAGGCTTTCCAAAATGGGCAGAGGGAAGAGACAGAAGTTCCTGAACTCCTGGTCACTCCTGAAGAAGCCATGTCACTGAGAACATCAGAGGTCCTGATGATGCAACAATCCAGGGTTCCAGGCACTTGGGGACATTATAGAAACCCCCTCACATTTCAAACACCATTTGGCAGTGACAGCTTTCTGCTGCTTATCTTTGTGGGTTTTGCCTTTTGTACTGATCCTCCCCTCTGTGTGCCCTAAAGTGGCTCCCACAGGGTTGGCCCAAACAAGAGGGGCTCAATAAACTTTCTGGTTGAATGTTACACAGAACAAAAGTCAGGCTCCTTGCACAGCGCTACACCTCTAACTTCATCTCCCACACCTTGCCCTTGCTTCTGTGCTCCAGCCAAATTCACCTCCTTGGGATTCCTCAACCTGGTAGCCCCAGGGCGTCTACATTCTCAGGCAGCCCTCTCAAGGGAGGCCTCCCTGACTTCCCTCATTCATCCACCTGTCTGTGGGACATCACGTTCTCATGCCCTTCTTCAGCATGCAGTCTGTCCCATCCCCCAACCCTGTCACTGCTTGCCACCCTACCTCACCTTCGTCTAAGACTTGTCGCCCCCCACCCTGGAACGAAAGCCCCATGAAGACAGAGGTGGTTTATTTTATTCACAGCTCTATCCCCAGTGCCAGCACACAGCAAGGGCTCCATAAAAACCGACTGAAAATGAGCCCGTGACCAACTTTCATGAAATCCAGCAATCTTAGGGATTCTGCCATCAGTCTCAGGGGTGGATCCCCAAAGGCCACTCTGAGTTGGGCAGTAAAATGGCTGTACTCAAACTCCAGAAGTGCCACTGTCATCCAGTACTCTGGCAACTGAGCAGAAGCCGGTACACAGAAGTCTGCTGTGCAAGGAAATAGGCCCATGGGTATCTCAACTGATCAAATCCTCACCTCACCAGCACACAGCAAAAAAAAAGGCTTCAGTCACATCTGCCAGGCCCAGGTTCCTCTAGCACATAACAAGAGACAAAGATGAGATTTTTGATTCAAGGAAGTAAACAGGGGGGCCTGGGTGGCTCAGGGTGGGTTAAGCTTCTGCCTTCGGCTCAGGTCATGATCCCAGGGTCCTGGAATCGAGCCCCCCATCAGGCTCTCTGCTCAGCAGAGAGCCTGCTTCTCCCTCTCTATCTGCCTGCCTCTCTGCCTACTTCTGCCTATTTGTGATTTCTCTCTCTGGTAAATAAATAAATAAATAATCTTAAAAAAACAAAGGAAGTAGACAGTGAAATCCTCTTTCTTTCATAGTTACGTCTTTTCCATGATTTGTTTGAAACAAATGATATACAGTGAATCGAGTTTCCTCACCATATGGTATCAGTGACTAAGTGAAACAGTTCATTTCAAGCATGATGTAAAATAAGTTTCTTTATTCCATCTCAGGTTTAATAAACTTTATATTAAGTCAAAAGATTTTATTTCTGCCATAGGTACCTGATCAACATACTTGCCCTAAGCAGTCATTGATGCTTTTATTTTTTTTTAAAGATTTTATTGATTTGAGAGAGAGACAGAGACAGAGATAGCAAGAGAGAGCATGAGCAGAGAGCAGAGGGAAAAGCAGGTTCCTCACTGAATAGGGAGCCTGATCAGGACTCGATCCTGGGACCCTCAGAACATGCTTAACTGACTGAGCCACCCAGACACCCCCATTGCTTTTCTTTTAAAGACATTTATTCATTTCTAAAAATGGTATCCTTGTAGTCTTACTGCTTTGAGGGGATTAAACTTTCAGTTTGAAAATCAATTCACACCAGGCTCTCTTGTTAGTATTTCATGAAATGTTGTTAAAATAAAACCAACTCTCTTTCCATCCCGGCTTACCCTTAGGGATGTGCAATTCATGTTTGGTCTTCTCACACCACCCTACTGGATGAATGTCAGGGGAACCGGCATTGGTCCAAAAATCATAGCAGCTTAAATAACCATCAAAGTGAAGTCTGAGGCGGTAACCACACACCTGTAAAATGGAACGTTTGCAATCCTTCATTAAGTGTCACGCATTTGAAGAGTACACAAAATTAACAAAATATTCACATACTCTGTCAGTGCTATCAACATAATATAAACCAACCCTTCCATCCAAATGTGCTTGTATTAAAAGGCAAATTTAGAGATGACATCTGAAAACAAAATGCTGACAGACACGATCTTTCAAGCATCCAGATTTTTTTCTGTAAAAAACAAATTATCCTTTTACTCAGTCTAGAAATCTGAGGTGTTTACACCTCCATCAATTGATTGTTCATTCAATACCTCTCAAATATTGCTCTTGGAAACCCCATCTCCCGCTGTCCCACAACAGTATGCAAGCTAAAGTACAGAGCAAAACCAAAATGGGTATGTCTTCATTTCAACTCTAACACATGGATCCAGCATACTCAATTAAGGAAATAAATAAAACAGTGTAGAATACATCATTAAGACATGCTATATAAGTTTAATAGCTATAATCAATCACTAAATTAAGTGAATAGGGTTTTTTACATGAGGTAATTAAAAATATAGAGGTCTTCCATCATTTTAATAATATAAAATGTTTAGTAAATATTACATTTTATAAGCCATTTACTTTCATCAGTGGCTCTTCATTCTAAGTAATTTTCATAAAATGCTTACATTTATATAAATAGATATTTCATGTGCTTGGATATTTTTCATACACATTTCTCATCAGTTCAGCTAAAACTTGAATAATTATGTCTCTTTTAACAGACAAAAGTAACACTGTGGGATTCACTGATTGTTATCAACCTCAAATGAAAACTATTTACCAACTTAATCAAGGATAACTGCTAGTGATGAGGGACTTATTAAAAGATTAATCTTCACAGAAGGAAAAAAAATTCATTAAGAAACATATTTCACCCATCACTGACTAAAATACATCCATGATGTACTAGAACTTGTTTATAATGGAAAGGACTCAAATTCATTATTCTCTAGAAAATTCTCTTCTGTCACTGTGCACTCAGCCCAAGACAATAACACCATCTCTTACCTCAGCTACAGAAAGCACACAGAATACAGATGGATGTCGGGGGTCAATGCCTTCTAATCTCATTCCAACCTGAAAACCATTTTCATGCTCCGGAAAGGATTGGTCCTATGAAATTTCATGATATAACATTAGCTACTGAAATACCTTCACAATGTGATATTAAAACACACTTGCTGTTGCTATGCATACAATCAAGAACTCCCGGTATGGGCTTGGAGGCTCGGGGATACAGCTAAAGACCGATGGCTGCTTTTCTATATTTGGGCCTCAAAGATGGTTTGATCATTTTATCATTACTTAGAAAACAGTTTATATGGAAACTACATGTCCTGTGAACTCCCCATTTATTCCTTTTGCCCATTTTTCCTTAGTGATTTGAAGAAGCTCTTCCTGTACTCTGGAAACAATCCTTTGTTGATTGTAATGATTACCTATTCCCAGTATGTGAGTTGGCTTTTTATGACTTTGTTGTAGAGAATTTTTTTTAATGTAGTAAAATACGTCAATTATTTCCTTTTCAGTGTGCACATCCAACCTATGAAATCCCTCACAACCCTGAAGTTACATGGACATTCCCCTGGCATTCTTTTAAAACTTCTGTTCTTCATATTTAAATCTACAATGCAACTGAAATTAATTTTGTTCTATGGTGTGAGGTAGGATCTATTTTTTTAATACAGAAAACAGACTATTCAACAAAATTTTTTGTATAGTCCATACTTCCATTATCAACAAAGTTATCTCTGTTATATCATGTTTCTACACATTTGTGAGTCTACTTCTGGCCCTTCTATTCTGTTCATTGGTATATCTTCCTATACCACATCGACTTATTTGCTTATGACTCTATATGGAGAGCAACCTTTATCATATTGAATTTTCTAATTCAGGAACTTGTTCCCTCTCCATTTAACTTAATCATTTTATTTGTCCAAGATGTTCTTAAAATTTTTGAATCGACATCATTGGTTATTAAAATTTTCAAATAGGCTTCAAAAATGCTTTCTTATGTTTATTTCTGTGTACCTTTTAATATTTACTGCTACTGCAAATGGAATCTACTTTGTAATAGACTTTCTAATGTGCTCCCATTCATATTATTTTAATACTAGCCTTGTTTCCCACAACCTAGCAAATTATCATTATTTTTGAGCAGTTTTGAGCAGATTCAGCATTACTAGTCAATTTACTCTTAACTTCAAGTAAGTTATAGGAATGCTAACAGAAAATGATGATTAAAATCTAGTTTTATTAGAACAAGAGCCGCTTTTTAATCACTAATTTTATTACTCTTTATTACTGGTTAACACATTAATGTTTATTTTTATTCTTTTGAAAAATAAATCTCTTCATTTGAATGTAATGTCAAACTTAAAAGAGAAGCTGCAAGAACAAAATAATACAAAGAACATGCATAGCCTTTGCCTGGACTCCTTTATTGTTAACAACAGTAGAAACCTCTTTGTTTTACCATTTGTGTTCTCTCTCTCTCTCTCTCGTATCTGTGCCTGTACACTGATATAAATATAGATACGCATATACATCCACATGTATATATGACTGTTTCTGAATCATTTGAGGGCCTTTTACCCTTAAATACTAAATGATTTTCCCTTAAGAGCAGGCAGTGTAGCTCCCTTGAGAATGAGAACATTCTCTTATGTAACAACAATTCAGTTATCAACTTCTGGAAACGTAACATTTATAAACTTTTAACTAATCTTCAATTCATATTCCAGTGTTTCCAATTTATCCAACAAGGCACTTTATAACACCTTCCCCCTCCACAATGTGATTCAGGTAGGGTCAGATATCAAATTTAGTTGATATGTTTATTTAGTCTCCTTTAATCTGGAACTTTTTCCATATTATTTCTTTATCTCTTACAACAACAACATTTTTAAAGAAAACAGTCTTTCCCCTCCTCCATTTTTTTTTTAAACAGAAAGCTCATCATTCCAGATGTGTCTGACATTTCCCCATGATTAGATTCAGTCATGCATTCTCTGCCAGTATGTTACATGGGTGACAAGAGTCCTCAGGATATCTCCTCTGGAGCCACAGGACGCCCATGCATCCTCTCACTGGTGCTGTTGATTTTGATCACACAATGACAGTGTTGCCCAATTCACTATACAGTTACATACAAAACACACATACATATACATACACAAATATTTACACATGGATGTATGTATATGCATACTTATGTATATTTTACAAATCCTAAGTTCATACTGATATGTCTAATCCCAGACCACCCCAAAGGGTTCATTCTGCCTTTTCCCATCCATTTTTGTCTTTCTCCTCTAACCAGGTCAGCACATTTACTCATATACTAAATCCTATAGCATCTACTATAGTTTCAGGACTGTTTTACCCACAGTACTATAATAAACAAATCTACAGAAAGATTTCAGGATTTGTTTGCAATTCTCCCTCCCTGCTCTGCTGTCCACGAATGGGGTATGCAGTTAAAAACCATGTTCATATCCTACTTGGATTCACATTTTTCTCTCTCTCTAGTGCAGTTAAAGTATCCATTTGAAATATGGTTGTGTTCATTGATTTAAATGTGCTTTCAGTTCTTAATGATTTGTTTTTATTTCTTAATATGTAGAATGTTAATATCCTTCCATGAGTTCGAGCTGTACAAAAAGGTTCTCAAAGAAATGTCTCTCTGTCTCCCATATCCTATCCTCCCCATTCTACCTCTTTAGAGGTAACCACCCTCACTGTTTTCTGGTCTATCCTTCCTGGATTTCTTTTTATAAAAATAAAAAAAAACATTTTGCTTTATTTTCCCCTTCCTTCTCACACAAAAGGTAGCATACTATATATGCTATTTTGCATGTGGCTTTTTTCATTTCTTAACACCTCCTGGAAACCACTCCATGTCAGGTCACAGCGACTGCCCACAGTCCTTGTCACAGCTACATCATACTCCACTCTGTGTAAGTACCATAGTTTACTCAACCTTCTTCTACAGTTGAGTGTGTGCCTTTTTTATACGAACATGAAATTGTTTTTAAATCTTTATGAATTGGCTTGTAAGATGTCGTTAAGAACATTTACAGATCATTTTAGAAGTTTCTAAGGAAAAACTTAAAGGATGACAAAACCCAAAAATGAAATGGCAAGAATGAATGATTTCTCAGAAATATTTTATTTCTGCAAGAAATAAATGTCATGTGTGTGTTTAATTCCCCAGCCTTCTTCTCACATCTACTCTGTTTCCCAGCAGACTGTATATAACAGGTTTTATGTGACTGCCTCCTGTTCACTGCTTTGAAATTTCTTGGTTAACTTCAAAAACACGGCACACACATGCATGTGCGTACACACAACACTGATAAGAAACCAACAGAACAGGAAAGACTACAGGGAATATATCAATAATTCTGAAAGGAAAGTTAAGAAACTGTAAAAACTGAGAGGACATTTTTCATGTTTAACAAAACCGAAAGATAGAAAATTGGGGACAGGAAGGAACCAGGATTATATGGAACAGACTGTGCTCTCTTTTCACAGATGAATGATAAATTCAAGACACTGACAATAATTCAGAGCTGGGAGTTAGGATGAGCAACGTTATTCTTGACAGCATTTTCAGAAGGTTTTTCAAGTAAAATTTGGAAGCTTCAGGTAGCACTGCAAGGAACACTACATGGCTACAATAGTCACGGCTTCTTTGGAGGGTTTCAAATAAAAGACAAAACATTCATTTTTACAATCTGAAAGGCAGCTTCTAGTGAGAAACAGCATTGTCTTTCATCAGTCTCTTTTCTGTTTAATGGTTTATTCATAGCAGATTTAATTTTGTTTCTTTCTAAAAATCATGTATTTTATGAACACAATTGATAGCTGTGCTATAAAATTATATTTTATGGTGACAAAAGGGAACTGGAATCACACACTAAAGCAAACAATAGTCTGTTAAATTCAGTCATAAAAAAATCATAAGGTCTGTAGACTTGAAAAAAACTTTTAGAAAGTTAAATAAACTCAAACCCAGAGAGGTGAAGAGACTTTCTCAAGGTCACACAACCTGTTTGGTAGCAGATCGTAACTAAGGACCCAAATCTTCTGAAAGCCAGCCAACTGTTTGTTCCACATTAGAGGACAGATGTGGAAACAGAACAAGCAAAACAAAACCCAGCTCAAGGCCATGGAAGGCATTTCCAAGGATGTGCCATGTACACTTGGGCACAGAAGTAAAGCTGTTTTATTTCATCATTTTCTTTCCCCAGACATTTGCAAAATAATGAAGTTTGTCAGTAATGATAAAAAGAATTATTCCAAGTTCTATACCACATAGCAAAAGCAGGTACAAATTGCATACTATTACTAAAAAAATAAAATAAGCCCAAGCATTAGGGAAAAAAAAAAAAAAAAAAAACCAACCCAAACAAAACAAAACGCCACGCCTAGAGCAAAGCAGACAGGCTAACAGCAGAATTCCCTTATGAAGTACAATGCATAAGGCACTCATCACATGTGCGTGCCAGTAGATCTCTGCTCCAAAGTCACAAACGTACCCTGTAAACAGCTCTTGGACACTTGGTAGGTATCTGTGAGAAATTCTGGACGTTTCACTCTGTTTGACACTGAGCACCTCATCACAGGACCAGAGAGATTATGCTGGTACTGATTGTTTCTGAGACACTCTGTGGAGGCGGCAGAAGGCTGGTGGCCATCAGCACCAGCCGAACAGCAGCTAGATGTGTGTTACAGAGCTGTATCAATCCTCTAAATGGAAGATCCTATCTGTGTGCCCACAGGCATTCTATTTTATTCACAGGCAAGCGTTGGCAGGCAACAATATTTTCCTGATCTTAATTCAGTATCGAGAGAAATGGGAGAAATGAGGCCTGCAAGGGAGTCACAGCCGCTGAAGCACACACCTCTAGCAGGCCATGGAGAGGACCAGTCCAAGACGACAGGCCGCTGATTTCTGAACCTTCATGGGATGGCTGTCAAAGAGAAAGACGTTCATACAGATTTTATATGCAGATGGTGAGGTAAGATTCCTTATAACACCAAAGACCACTGCCATGAGTCCAGTGATCTTCTTCTCTGGTTTATCTCAGCAACATCTTCAAAAA